AAATTATTAATTATTTTATGCATTTATAAAATAAATACTTAGTAAACAATATTGTGACGGATCTTATTGGCTCGTTAAATAATACTTCAAATGAAAAATAAAATACAAAAGAAATTAAGATGAACTTAAATAATGAATCCTAGATTCATATTTATACATGTTCTTGTTGTAAATGTGGTGATGGAAAGTTTCACCTCAAATAAAATTGATTTTCGATGTTTTATAAGGAGCGAAAATAAAATGTCCGTAAATATTGTAATATTTTGTTGATTATCGAACATTATGCGTTATTACAAGTGTCAGAGCCAGATCTATTAACACCAAAATACTATATTTCGGAGTACGAAAGCTATATTGGCGTTTTTCTTGTATTTTAAAAATTTTCGATTTTTTGTTGTTGCAAAATTAACGTTTTTGAGAATTTTGCAAATTAAAATCAAAATTTCTTTCAATAAATTAAAATTGATCTTACACAAACAATTTTCAATAAGGCAAAACTAAATATTTGTGACATTTATTTCTTGAAAATTTTCCATCACTGCCAAAAATAATTAAAATTTATCGAAACCTTCTCCTCTGTTCTAAGTTTTTACATTTCTAAACCATAATTTCATTATTATTACATTAAAAATAAAGACAAAATTTCAACGTTCAAAGATTTTGATATTAGTTTTGCAAAAACAGTCCAGCTTTTAAAACGTTCAAGAAACAGTACCTTTTCACAATAAATTTAAAACGTTCAAGAAAGCAGGTTTAAAAATTTTAATTAGTAATCAACATTATTCAGAGTTGAGCGAAAAATAAAACAAAACTACTATTTAAAAATAAAGTTATAATTAAATATTAAGACGTTATTATATTATTCATTTTTAATAGAATATTTAAAAGAAATATTTGAAAGCTCAATACAAAAAAATGCATACTTCTAAAACAATTTTATTTATACTGATGGCAATCAATGTATCAGCAATAGCGGCAACATCGTTTAACATAAATTTTATTTCAAATCTTATATTTAAAATATTACATAAAAATCTCATAATCAAAACAATTGTCTTACGTTCTTCTTATATATTTGATAAAGATTTTGAAATTAATAAAATAATTGAGAACATTACAACTAACAATTCACATAGTGTAATCATTTTAAATCTAAAAAATTATGAAAATGCTTTAGGAACATTTAATTTATTCAATATTGCAAATATGAATTTTTTATATATAGATTTTACTACAGACGTGAAAATTAAAAATACTTTGGTATCAATGTCTGATATTTTATATAAAAATCATCACACGAAAATAATTTTAATTATTTATAAAAAAAAATTAAATAGTGACGAAGAAAATAAAAATTTCATTAAACAAAATATCCTTTCATTTTGCTTTAAGCAAGGATTATTTAATATTTTAATCATTTTTTCTGATTTTACAACGTCGTTTAAGAATATTTATCGAATGCGACCATTTCCGGAACCTAAAATTGAAGCAATTTCATACAGTGAACATTTAGAACAAAATCTATTTTCAGATTATACAAGAAATCTTTATGGTTACAAATTGAAAACAGCAATAATTAATTCTCAACCACGTGTAATAACTTATAAAAACAGGTAAAATTATGATAATTTTGTAAATGATAAAACACTTGTAGCTTCTAGTATGAGAATATTTAAATATAAATTAAGTAAAAAATATAAACTATGTAATTTTGTAAAAAACAATCAATTATTGGATATTTCAATAAACCTACTAATAATTTATCATAATTAATTTTTTAAAAATCATTTCAGAAAAGGACTGGAAAAACATGGTGGAGTTTTTTACCATACAATTGAAACACTAGCTAAAACACTTAATTGTAATTTATTACCAGTATTAGATACAAAACTAGTAAGTGATTCTCCACCTGTAATTTGTAACTTGAATGAATCGCTTGATATTATAGCTTACACAGTTACCTGCATGCCAAAATCTAAATTTAAATATGACACATATCCAGTGTCATTTATCTACACATGTTATGCATTTCCTGATCACATAAATGAATTGGCTACACGTTTATATTTTATATTACCATTCGATTATAAAACTTGGATATGTGTTGTTTTCTCTATAATATGTTTTGGAATTTTACAAAATCTTTTAAATTTTCGATTATTTCGAAATAAAGATTGGAATTTAGCATTCTTTACAGTACTCAAAGCTTTTCTTTATCAAAGCTTTAAAGATCTATATGAATTAAAACATAAATGGAAAATAAGAATTTTTTATCTAACTTTAATTTTATTTGGTTTTTTATCAGCAAATCTATATTTAGCTTTTTTGACAACATTTTTAATAAATCCAATACAAAAGCCTACACCAAAGAACTTACAAGATGTTGAAGAAAGGAATATGAAACTAATGATATTTGAAGCTAATCCTAAACAACAAACAAACATCGATCCTGACAATAAATTTTTTAAACTATTTGTAAATGCAAATAAATCTGTTTTTGAACAACACCAATCGGCACTGAATTCATCATACGGATATCCCATACCGGATGATTCTTGGGAATTTTTAAATCAACTATTAAAAGTTAATGGAATGAAAAACTCTTTTAAAATGAGTGAGATATGTGTACAATATTATTATAGAAGATTTCAAATCCACACGCATGTTTTAAATCAGAATTTTTTAGATGAATATATCATGAGAGTACATGACACTGGTCTTTATAAGAAATGGGAAACGGATGTTGTTTTAGAAAGTATGGAAGCAAATTTAGATAAAAATATAACAAGACCTGTTAAAAAATTATTGAAACCTTTAACAGTAGAAAATTTATCTATAATATGGGCAATTGCTGGTGGTGGCTGGTTTGTTAGTCTTAACATTTTTGTAATTGAACTTTGCCTTTATCAAAAATTGATTTATGTAGAAGAATAATAGAAAAATGCTGATAAAAAGTTGTCAAGAAAAACATTTTCATCAGAGAAGGTAATCAATTCTAAAGCTTAATCAAGCTAGCAAAGACGTCTGTAAACTATCGCTATTTTTAGAAGAATGCTGACGTAATGTACTATGTAAAAAATATGTATGTATGTATGTTTTCATATACATATTATATTGAGGCGAAACTATAGTTCTATTGGAATTATTATTTTTTGTTTAAAAAGTTAGTTACATATATTCTACATGAAAATAAATTTTATTGTTTGTTTGACATTTTGTTTCCATTTAAATTTGATTTTTGAAGTTCTTAATCATCATAGTATTCCGAAGAACTACTTTGTCTAAATCCCCTATATTTTTGATATCCTTTGTAACGATACGGAGTTGCTTTTCTGGTTACATATACAGGATCCCTTACAATATTTTTAATAGTACTCTGTACTGGTTCTGCTCTCGGCATTAAACTCATAGATGGTGGATCACGTGGTTCTGTCCATTCCCACATAGAACTATCAACGCAATCAAGTTTTCCAGCTGAAAATAATTGTGACATGCCGCAAGATGCTAAAATTGCTGGATGACTTAATTGTTCACACACCCAATATTTAGTGGGATCGAAATTATTTCTCCAATATCTTTGATTTATTTCCTCTTGAGTTTTACATGCCGGTTGACCATTGTGTCCATGAGTGTATTTTGAAGCTATAAGATCACTGACAGACAAAATTATACAAAAAATAAATAAGTTTTTCATTTTTTAAAATTCCGTGTTTTTCCTATTTTTTTTAGAATTCTCAAATTTGCTTTACTGATCACAAAACCTAAAATTGTCTTCAGTATATATACGTTGTGATTCTCACAATTTTTACATTTAACTGATAAAATGGCACTATGTAGATTGATAAGGACTACTTTTACGTTAAAAAATTCATGTACTTTCTTACAAAATTCAGTTTTATCTTTAAAATGTTTTCTCATGTCCTACAACTTGCATTCATTTAAATATAAATTTTAATAATACAAACTTAAACAAGATTTTTCAAATTTTCCGGCAATTCTCGAGCAATTTATGATACTGGAACATACATATGTAGATAAAGATGTATCAAAGTATGTACATATGTACAAAAGTATACACATATACTTATATGTGTACACTTCAGTACATATCTACAAACATAATTTTAAAAATGAATTTATACATTAATATTGCACATTAAAATTATCAACATAAGATACAGATTTTTATCATGGATTAATAGTTGAGAATTTTTTGTATTTTAATTTCTTTTTAAATACTAGAAAACTGCTTGCAACGTAAGTCTGCACATGTGTGCATAGATACCTAGTTCCATTAAATATGTATGGATATGTAGATAGGTATCTAGAACGAAGTACCCGCATAGTTATCAATAATTAGATTAAATAACATTACAACTCTTAATCCGCCTTTCGAACGGAATACTCCCAGAAATCCTAAAATAGGAACGTGAAAAATATCTTGAAAAAATTTAAATCTAGTATAGCGAAATCCTGAAATCACCTGCATATATACTTATAGTAAAACAATGTAGCATGGTCTTATTCTTACCTTATATTGTTGTTAGTAATGACTTCCAATTTTTTTCTTTGAAATGACAAATTCGATCCCATCCTGTAAGAGGTCATCATTTCTATGTACATATAAGAATCGCAAAGTTTTCATCCCAGCACAATTTTACACTAACTGCAAAGACGCGAAAAGCTATTCAAAACTACACATGCAAATTGTTGAAAAATGATGACCATTTTTCATTTTGAAAAAGCACAAAGCTAAATTAATGACTACTTTCCTTGGTACGATTGTATGAAGATAAAAGTACTATCAAAATGCACATAATATAAAACTAAGTGAATAACTTAAGCAATTGCAAATATTAGTACAATATGTCATGCTACAGTACAAAAATATAAGCATTTTTCAAAATAAATTTGTGTGCATCACTGACAGCGCTGTCAAAAAAAATTTTGTTTACTTTTATTAGTTAAAGTGTCAAACTGTTTCAAATAGAAAAAAAAAATTGAAAAAATGTAGAATATTTTGTTGTTTTTGTTTAACTGGCATAATTATATTTAAATAAATATAATAAATACAAAGTTTTTAATTGATAATTTGTTATATTATTAACAAAATTATATGAACAAATGAGATAACTCAAAACCGCTGTAATATATAATGGATTTGGATAAAACTATAAATTTCAACTTAGGAATTCTCGGTCATGTAGATTCCGGGAAAACTACTTTAGCGAAACTTTTGAGTACACAAGCATCTACGGCCGCTTTTGACAAGCATCCAGAATCTCAACAAAGAGGAATAACAATAGGTTAACTATTTTTAACACTTAATAGGTATATAACATATACCTATTAAATGTTAATAGGTGTAATAACATATGTATATATACTAAATGCTTAAGTTTGTAGATTTAGGATTTAGTTCTATGGTGATGGATATTCCTGAACAGCTTAAAAGCTCTGCTTCAGATATCGGGAAAATTCAAATTACATTTGTTGATTGCCCTGGTCATGCCAGCTTAATTAGAACCATAATAGGAGGTGCTCAAATTATAGACATGATGCTTCTCGTTGTAGATGCTCAGAAAGGTTTTCAAACTCAGACTTCTGAATGTCTTGTGATAGGGGAACTTACTTGCGAAAAACTGTTTGTTGTTATTAATAAAATCGATTGTTTTGAAGAATCAATACGTGATAAAAGTATATATAAGATGAAATTACGAATTTCAAAAATTTTAGAAAAAACAAAATTCGGAAACAACGTACCTATTTGTGGCATATCTGCTTTAAAAAATTTATATATAGAAGATTTTTTGAAGAAATTGCAGCAGCATTTATTTATACCGAAAAGAAATTTTAGTAAACCATTTTTATTTTACGTAGATCATTGTTTTGCTATTAAAGGTCAAGGAACTGTATGTACTGGTACTATAATTGAAGGAAAAGTTTCTGTTCAGCAAACTGTAGAGATTCCTAATTTTAAAGAACAAAAAAAAGTTAAATCCATTCAGATGTTCAAGAAGCCAGTACAAACTGCACTTCAGGGAGATCGTGTTGGTATATGTGTTACACAATTTAATCCAGAGCAAATGGAAAGAGGAATATTAGCTGAACCAGGTTCTGTTCGCAAACTTTATGCTGGTAAATAGTCTGTCAAATATAAGACTTTCATTTAAAATTTAATTTGTTTTTAGGTATAATAAAATTTAATAAAATTAAATATTTTAAGTATACTATAAAATCAAAGTCAAAATTTCATATTACTATTGGCCATGAAACGGTTATGGCCAAAGTTTTGCTATTTAAACGAAATATCGAAACAAAAGAATCTTACAATTATTTTCAAATTGATAAAGAATATGAATATGTAGAGGAAGCGGAAATTGATAATTTTCCAAATGATATTTTCATTCTCTTAGAATTTGAAAACCCAGTTTTAACTGTTTCAGATACTTTAGTAATTGGTTCAAAATTAGATTTAGATTTGGAAACCAATGTCTGTCGAATAGCTTTTTGGGGAAGGTTGTTATGGACTTCCAATTCAGTTAATTATGTGGACAGTGATTTGAAAAATCTAAAGATATATAAATACAAAACAAAACAAGGATCAATTCAAAGAATTGTGAATGAAAATGAAGCTATTGTGCATGGTTTATTTAAGAAGGAAAGTAAAAGGGATATTTTCATTGGTAAAAAAATAATTTTAAGTACAGGTGAAGAAGGATTAATTGAAAGTAGTTTTGGTAAATCATCAAAAGTAAAAGTTACATTTAACAATGGTCTAAATTCTACAACTTTAGAGAAATTGAAGAGTAAAAACAGTGATGTTTTAGTTTTGTTAAACTTTAAAAAATATATTTTTGATAAAAATAAAAGCATAATACAGTAAAAATTTTTTTTATTCGATTAACAAAGTTAATTATGTACGTATAAATAAAAATAATTTTATTGAAAAAGTTATTATATAGTGGTATGAGCTATGAAGTCAGTAAGTAGTTACTACAAAATCAAGCAAAAATGTGACTGCACTGTATATACAAAAATTGCATAAAGTACGATAATGCAGTTTCATCGTTTGACATAATCAAAAAACAAATGTCATCCAACTAATGTCATACTTTATGTTTTTGTTTCGTATCAATTCTATAACAATAACAAAGTTACAAGATAATATTTTTATAAAATTTTATTGATAAAATTAATTTTTCCTGCGCATGAACTTTTTAAATTCAGGTAAGAAAGTTCTTTAACTATTCTGTCAACAAATTAATTCCGAATGTTGCTAAAAAATATAATTACAAATCGTCCCATTAAAATTGGTCAGGGTATATTGTCATAAATACTGCGAGCAAAACAAATGTAATATTTCGAAAAAAAGATTAGAAATTGAATAGAACATTATGAATAGAGAAATCAAGGATAATGAATATTAATAATCGAAATAATAACAATACAAAACTTGAAAACAAATATATGTAAATATTTCATTCGTATAAAACTTTTTAATGCGTGTGCAGATACAGTACTCATCAAAAGTATATGCAAGATTGAATGTTTAGTTGTTTATTCTAAATTTTTTATTCAAGAAACGAAGAAAATCACAATTTATTGAAACCAAAGAAGTAACTACAGCAATATTATCTATTTAATATTCAAAAGACAAAATGAAGAAAAAGAATTATAATTGCAATAACACCTAATTACGTACATTGTGCTACAATATAATATTTACGATTTCTGCAAATCTTAAAATTGCCAGTTTGAATTTGAAATTCCCATTCAATTTGTAAATTAAATTTAGCATCATAGCAACATTCGAATTAATATTTGTTGATGAAATACTATATACCTACCTACTTAGAATTCTATGTACCTTTTATAAGTCATATAATATTCGTAGAAAGAAATAACTCTCAAACTTTGCACTCGGCTAAGTTCTTAAAAAGTCTTTTATTACTATAATATTTTTTAAAAATTTCCTAAAAACATTAAAAAAAATATTACGAATTAAAATTAATCAAAATCGTTATATGTAATATCTTTTGATTTGACTTTTATCGTTATATTTAAAATATTTTTGCGATAAGCAGTGAAATTAATTATTTTCAAGATAATACGACGAAAATTTTTCGAAAATAAAAAATCAATAACGTATTAGGAGTAAAACAATTTTCAAAAATATTCTCAAACATACTACAAAAAGGGAAATACATTTCCGCGTTATAGTCTTATACTATGTCTTAGATTAAATTTTGGATAAAATAAAAAAAAATTAAATTTGCTTTTAAAAACAAGTGCCCTTTTATGTCGGGATTATTTAAGAAAAATTAAATGAGCAAAGTGTTTGTTTTTGAAATTTTTATTGTGTCATGTCTTTGGAAGATCCATTTTTTGTTGTTAAAGAGTAAGTAAAATTAACGAAATTCTTATAAACTGAATAAAATAATAAAAATTTTTATTATTGGATATTAATCAGAAAACATTTAAAATACATATCTTTTATCTATACCTTTATCATTAAACAAAAACTTTTATCATTAACTATTTTTTTTTTTTTTCATTTTCACAGCGAAGTTTTTAAAGCTTTAAACAAAACACGAGGTCTTTATTTGAGGTGGAGAGAATTAGGTGAAGCAAACGGTTCCCAAGAAGCTGAATGGACAACTACTGAATTGAGAAATTCGTTAAGAAGTATTGAATGGGACCTTGAAGACTTGGAAGATACAATTTATATCCTTTTCAAAACATCTGTATAGAATTCAATAATTTTAACTTATTTATTTTTTAAATAACAAAAGTATTTTGCGTTTTAAAAAAATTATTCAAATATTTCCATATTACATACATACCTACATATATATTTAATTATAATTTATGATTATGAAATAAATTTTCCTTAATTAAAAAAATACCTATTGTAGAAAAAAATCCAACTAAATTTAAAATAGATAATAGGGAATTATCAAGTCGCCGGCATTTCATTGACGCTACCCGAGATGAAGTCAAATCGATGAAAGAAAAAATGAACTACGGTTTAAACCGTAACAGAGATCGTGATATTACAGCAAGACAACCCTTATTGGATAATAATAACGAAACAAATAATAACATAAATTGTACAACAACTGTTAATAGCTTGGCAACAACTGTAGTAAGTGGTAATTCAATTGCTAATACAATTGGTACAATGGCGTCTCGACATGGTGGTACTAAATATTCTAAATTGGAAAATACATTGGATAGTCCCGGTCATTATGCAACATTGGACAGTCCATCACATAAATTTATTGGTGAAAATGTTTCAGTACAACAGCGAATGTTTCAAACTCAAGATGAACAATTGGATGTTATTAGTGATTCAATCGGTACATTAAAGACTGTCTCGCGGCAAATTAATGTCGAATTAGATGAACAAGCTGTGTAAGTTAACCTTAAAAAATAATGAAAGATAAATTAGACTTATAAATTTAAAAAAAAAAATTACATTCACCTATTTTTTAATATTATAGAATGTTAGATGATTTTGGAAATGAGTTGGATGCAACAGAATCAAAGTTAGATTCAACAATGAAAAAGGTTGCCAAAGTATTACACATGAATAATGGTAATTAAATTAAAGATATGAATTTAATTCAATTTAACTGTACAATTTTTGTTTTAGATAAACGTCAGTGGGCTGCTATAGGTATTCTCTTAGTACTTTTATTAATTATAATAGTTCTATTTATTATACTGTAAAATAAGATGTGAAAGTATATTTTCTCAAAAAAAAAAAAAAAGAAAATTATAATAATTATTAATCAAATCACACGATGTAGCTAAAGAATTTCATTGATTTTTTCTTTTTATGTAAACTTTAATATCATAATGAAAGGCCATAAAATTTATATTATAATTAGAGGTATGGCACCTGTTATATTTGTACTATAATCTGGAATTTGTTATAAGATCCATATAGATTTAATTTGTGTTTTTGTATACTTAATATTATTTTATGTTATTATTTTTGCCTATATAAAATTTTGATTATGTAAATTAGGAAAATATTTTTTAACTTATTTTTCAATTAGATTTTTGGTTGAAAAAAACAAAAATAAATAATTGTTATACTGTTAAATATTCAATTATTTGAAAATTTTTTATAATTCATATCAATAGACAAAAATATTTAATTGAGAACAATCATTCTTTTGTTTTAATTTAACTTTAGTATTTAATGACCGCTCAATTACCTTCTTATCAAATTAAGATACAATCAAAAAGATTACGTTTTTGATAACTTTTTATTATTTATTCAAAAGTTATCAAAATATATAGCCCGCGTGTAAGTTAATTATTATTATGTATTAGGAAATTTGTTTAATATTTGAATATTATATTGAGAATATTACGTATATCTTTTTATTATGGATTTAAGTTTGTTAAGTTAATTTAAATTTTTTTAATAACAAATTTATTCCAGTCAAATATTTATGACAAAAACTCATAGAGTAATTTTGCTTTCCAGCTCAATATCATAGATTTTATTAGATTATGACAAAATCTCTGAATAATTTTGCTTTTTAGCTCAATAGTATCGTTTTATTATACACATTATGTTTTTCTTATTTACCCAACTGGTTGCAGCTTAATTATAACAATTGAATTAGACTATACATATTTATTTGCAAAAATTAATATTAAAACATTATAATCTTATATATTAAAGGAATTTTGAAATAATATAAAAAGAAATAAAATCACTTCCAAAAGACAAAAAAAAGAAAAAAAGTAAAAAGAAATATGTATAATTAATACAAAACAAGATTTAACGAATGTATTATATAAATATAAAAAAAAAAAAGGAAATTAATTATTAAAAATTCATTCCACAATTATAAACCATGTGAAAATCAATTTCAACCTGTATGTAAAATGTACATGTTTTTATTCAAAATTTTACTTCTTTCTAAATAATAGCAAACTTTAAAATTAAAGTCTATACATGTATATAAAAATATATTTCATAATATATACATATATTCTTATGTAATATATATATATATATATATATAAGAAAATTTTCAAAAATTAAATTATGGAATTAAAGTACACAAAAATGCATTGTATTAATAAATAAATATAAAGGTTATATATGAAAATCTAAAATACAAAAAGTAAAATAAAATTATCATATAAAAAAAAAAAAGATTTTCCTTTTATTTTCATATTTTTCTTTCCTTGAAAATAACTTTTAAATTATAGCTAATTCCTAGGAGAATTCGATACCATAACAGGGTAATTTTATAATTCAAATTTAGCAGTAACAGTTAACACACCTAATTCGTGGTTTAGAATTATTATATTTCTGTTATTTATTATGTACCCACAACAATAATAATTGTATTAGCAATTATTTCTAAAATAATTTTGTATTAAGCCGTTGAATATGTTTGTCAGAAGTGCAGAAGTCTAAAGTGCCTCAAAGGCTATAAAATTAAATATCACAGAATGTATGTTGCATATTCTCTTTGGTCATATTAAATTGCTATAATGAAAAAAGTTGAATTGATATTATTAAATTAATTCAGATATATAAAATCAATTTGGGTTAATTAAAAAAAAATTGTTGTTTTTAAACTTTGAAAAATAAGTATTAAATAGTTTAAATATCAATGTAATAATTCTTAAGAAAATCAAACATTCTTAACTATATTATTTTGGATAAATATGAGCTAAATATTACTATTCGTTATCAAATTCTTTATAATATTTAGTTTGATATTGTAGCATTATCATATTTTTAATCCCAAATTTCAATTTAAAAAATGCAAAAGTTTCAGACAAAATTTAGGTAAATACACAAATATTGTTTTCATAGGAATTACATGAATAACGTGATTATTGATAATTCGAAGCCTGAATTTAGAAAGTCTTTTTTGGCTTACTTACTTTTCACTTACTTACTTAGGCAATTTAAATATGTCGAACGTGCTGTGCTTTATATTGAGTACTAAGTTAGAACTGAATTATAAAAAATTTCTCAGTGTTGTCTAATATAAGATTGCTTTAACACTCTGACTCCCATTAAATCTGTTATAAGATACTGGTATGTTCTTAATCTTTTTCAGGTATATTGGTACTTAAAAAAATTTGTATTTATCTGTTAGGCTGATACAAAATACATTTCTTTGCCGAAAAACAGAAGAATCGAGACTTTCGCTAATTAAAATATTCACTTAAAATTCAACTTAAATTGTAAAAAGCATTTTTTGCATCATTCAAGATTTTCAGGACGTTCTATGTTTTAGAACTTTCAACATGCTACGACTTTCAAATGTTCTTCTTTTGTAATAAGAATTGGGCATGATTAATTGCATTTTATGACAAAAATATAATTGAATTTTATTTTAAAAATTTGAAATAAAAACACAAAATTTTTATGTTTAAAGTTTTTAATTTAAAAAGTCATTTTTATTGTTTTTTTTTCTTCTTTTCTTTTATTTTTTTTTTCTTATAGTTTTAGTTATTATATTTTTTCACATTTTTTTTTTCTTTATTTTTTTAAAATTAAAAACTAAGTTTTGACCATTTGTTTTTTTTTCAAATATTTTTTTTTTTTGTTCACTACAATTTAAATTAATTAAGCAAAAATATGTACAAAATCATAATTAATTCTATGAATCATTTTTTTTTTTAAGAAAAAAAAAAAAGAGAATCATATTATCATCGGTATAATCAAATTTGAATGAAATCAAGGGATAAAAACTAAATTTAAAAATAAAAATAAAACAAGTAGATATATAAAAGACATGAACGAAATAAGAATGCAATTAAAAAATAGTTTTTTTTTATTTTTTGTTTTTTTTTTCGAAATCATTTTTGTAAAATTAATAATTTGTTTTATTAAAGAGTTTTGGTAACTTTACAGCTTCTTTGAATATAATAACATAATAAAAAATATAATATCAATATTATTTTATATTTTATGTAAATTAATTTCTATTATTTTTTTTTTATTTAATATTAAATTAATACGACTAAAAACAAATTATTTCTCATTCTTGTTATATTTAAATTTAAATTAAGAGAAAAAAATATATATATTTATAATTAATTATAATTATAAAACTAAAAATTTCTTTTAGATGATTTTTCTAATTTTTAATTAAAATTGCAGCAACTTTTTAATATTTTATTTAATCCCAAAAATTAAAAACGGAATTTAAAAAAAATTGAAAACCAAAACGAAATAAAAAAAATATAATAATTAATTATTTTTATAATTACTATTATTATTATTAATATTTTATAATACATTTTATTGAAAAAAATATTTTTTTAATTACGTGTAACAGGCTTTTATTTTTTGTTTTTTTTGTTTTTTTTAATAATAATTTTGCAAATTTAAAAAATAAAAATATTAATTTCGATCAATTCTTCAAATGAATTTGAATTATATTCAACTTATTTGCTTAGGAGAAAAAGAAATATCTTAGATTTTATTAGATTGTATCAAACATAAATTAGATAAATTTAATATATTAAATTAAATTTATAGATAATTTTAATGTATTTTATATTTTATTAATGTATTTTCCTTTTTTTTTTTCTTTTTGTAATTATTTTTGTTATTACATTGTGTTTTCACTTTAATTTGTAAAGTTATTGATTGAATCATTTAAATTAAAATAATTTTGAATTTCTCATCTTTTTTAATACATCTATTTTAAATTCTCTGAAATTATTAAATAATTATTATAAAAAAAATAATGTAGCATATTATAAAAATATTATATTTTTATGTATTTTTTGTAAAAAAAATCTATAGCTAAATAAAACACAAAAAATCCAAAAATTATAACAAAGAACTGCGACTGAAATTAATGAAAAATTTTTATCAATATTCTGGTTCAATTGATTAAATGGATTGTTCTCCAAAAATTTTGTACTTTTCAGAATTTTAGAATTTGAAATTCTATACTGAAAACTGAAATATTTTTTTAATAACTTCCAATCATCTTAGGAGTGATATGGTTAACAGAATATTATGATGGTTCCGATTATCTAAATTAAAAAATATGATCATTATTTTTTTTTTTTTTAATAATTATATTAATTGTAATTTTATTTATTTAATTCTTGAGAAATTTTATGAATTTTTAATTTTGAAAATATTAAGACTAGCAAAAAATTGAAATTATTTAAAACAAAGTATATTTTTTATTGAAATTAATTGTTTTTTAAATTTAGAATCAAATATTTTACATGAATTGTTTTTTGTTTTTTTTGTACTTTCTCATTTGGGTATATAATATATTATATTAATATAATATAAATATAATTTATTAATTAAAATTAATACACAGATTTATTGTAATTAATAATAAAAAAAAGTTATTTTAATAAATATAACAAATACAAATTTAATGTGTAAAGAAATAATTAAAAATTAAATAATTATGAAAAAAATAATGTTTTATTTTTATATTTTTTTATTTTTGAAGAGTAATATATTATATCGATGTAGTTAAATTAGGAACATTTTTATTATGAAAAAAAAAAATTGTTTAGAAATACTTTTTCAATTATTTATTAAGTTTCTTTTTTTCTCTAATATTTACTTGTATTTCAATTATAATTTGTTTTAATAATAATCTTTAATTTTAATTTTAAAATAATTAATATCATATTTGAAGTGAAGAAAATAATAATAATTCTTGAAATTATTTCAAAAATTTAAAATAATAAACAATGCAATTAAAAGGATTTTATTGATTAAATAAGTAGAAAATAGAAAAATAAACACTCCATTGCGAATATTAACCAATATTGTGTTATCAAAAAGTACTTTTAGTAAATAATTTTATATACTTCTTTTTAAAAGTTGAAAATATTCAAAATATTTAAAAATGAAATTAAAATAGATAACGAAATTTTTATTTAAATAATTTTAACAATATAATAAGTTTTGAATTTATTTTTCATAGTACTTAAAATTTGTATTTATTTTAATATTCTTCCAGTTATACATTTTTGTTATACAACAATATTTCCGATAGTGTTTTTTTTTATTAATTTTCAAAGAAATAATTAGATAATTTTATTATCCTAAAAATGAAATAAAAACATTTAATTTGATAAAAGAGAATTGTTTTTTTTTTTTTTTTGTTCTACTAATAAAAATAATGAAACTCAGATCCTCAATTTTAGAAATTAGAAAATTGTTCCTTGGAAAATTTTTTTTTTCTAATCCTTATATTAAAAAAAAATAATAATATTAAATTTAAATAATTGAAATTAAAATTTTATTTACACAATATAATATTATTTAATAAATTAATATACAAATTTTCATTTTATAATTAATTATGTTTCATGAAATTTTTTTCTACAATACAAATAAATTTTAGTATCACAATAATCCTATATATTAATTATATTATACGATAAATTAATACTAAATTAATAAATTTCAATTTAATTATATTATAAAAGAAAATTTCACAAAATTTTATTGAAATTAAAATATTAATATTATTATTATTTGTAATTATATTGGGTAAATATATTTAAATGATTGATATAATATGTAAGTAATTAAGTAGTTATTAAATTTGATAACTATAATAAAAAATCTTATAAATAGAAATCTTATAATGTTGTAATTGTGTAAAATAAAACTTATAATGTTGTAATTGTGGTTATTATATTAGATGATTTATAAAGAAGAGGCAACAAAAAAAAAAAACGAATAATAGGAATTTATTTTTAAAAATGAAACATATAATTTTTATATTTCAAGATTGGTGTTAATAGTCATAATTTTATATTATATACTCTCTCATATTCTGTTAGATAGGTCACTTGAAATGATACCATATTATTCAAAGATATTGAGATTTTTAGTACTAAATTCAAATTTTATTTTGAAAACAAATAAAATTTTTGATTAATATCCAATTACTTTAAGTGATTCCATCTAATAGAATATGAATTTTTATTTAATTTACAATAATATTCTGTAAAAGCAATGAATTTTTAAAATTCGGATACCTAATACACATGATAGTTAATTTAAATTAAAAAAAAAATTGTTATTCATTTATAATTAAATTTTAGATGTTAAGGAAAAAAGGAAAAATAAAATTTTTAATATTTACTTTATTTTCTTATTTTTTTTTATTATATTTTTTTCTTTTTGCAATTTTCAGAATTAGAATTAAATTTATTTGCATTTTTCTTTTATTTTTAATTTTATACCAATTGTTTTCATGTTGTTTTGTTTTTTATTTTTCAAATATAATTAAAATTTTTTTTTCCCCCAAATAAGAAGTTACAAAAAATATTCTATTTTTTTTTTTAATATTCTATTTTTAAAGTGTATTATATTCATTTATATATACATATATATTTTACATAATATTATTAAAAGGTAGAAAAGTTAATAATGTCTGTACGGATTTAAAAAAAAAAAAAATGTTCATAACAAGAATGATGATAAGTCATAATAATTAAGAATAATAATAATAATTTGCCTAATTTTTTTGTTTTTAAATAAAATTTGAAAATTGATTTAAAATTAAAAGAGAATATTAAAAATTAAGAAAAATTAAAACTTTCACGAGATATTTTAATATATATTTTTTTGTTTCTTAATTTAAAGCCTACAATAATAAGAAAATAACAGCGACAATACAGGAGAGAAGAGAAAGTAAGAGACAAAAAAAAATTAATAAAAAGGATAATTATTTTGTTTTTAATATACATATCAAGTTTTTGTTTGTTTATATATATATATATATAATTTATATAGTTTTTTTTTTTTATTTTATATATATTTTTTTTCAAATATGTGTATAATTTATTTAAAAATTTTTTCAATCAAGTTCATCAAAAATCATTTGTTATTTTTTTTTCGTTCTTCTCCTTTCTTTACTTTTTCTTTGTTTTTATTTATGTATTAATTTTTTAATCTGCTTTATTTTTTTTTTTGTTATTTTGTAATTTTTTTTGTTTTTTTTTTTTTTCTCATTTGTTTTATGATTTTAATTACAACACAGCTAAATTTATTAAAAATAATATAATAATTACTTTAATATTTTTGTTTTTTTTCTTTTTATTATTATAATGTTATTCATGTGTTTTCTGTTATATAATATATAATTTTATGTTTTGTTTTTGTTTCTCTTGCATATTATAATGTATTGTAAATATATGTTAGTATATATGCATATATATATATTATTATATATATATATATATACATAAATACATAGTATAGCATTAAATAATTCTATGGTTATATATTTTATTTTGATATTTTGATCTTTTGTTTTTCTATTTCTTTTATTTAAGTTTTCCATTCATTCCCGTTTAACTTACTATTTTTTAATTTGTGTAATAATTATTTTTGTATTTGATTTTTTATTTTATTTTTTGTTTTTTTCTTATATTCATTCCTTTTTCATATCCTTAATTAATATTATATACGTATATGTATATTATGTATTTATATATGTATATATATACATATATATGTATATACGCCGTTCATGTATATATATAAATATACATATTTATATACATACTACATTAAATAATAAGTATGTATTTAATTTCATTTAAATATCATCATTTGCTGCAATATGATCTGGTTGTTCACCTTTTGAATGTTTTACCCACATTCTATCATATAATTTTTCTAAGCCAAGTGCATATTGTTGACAATCAAATAATGGTGATTCAACTCGAGCTTTCCATACTTTGGCACGTATACCTTTTAAATATTCACGATCTGTACCTAATCTTATAGCAATATCTTGATATTCTTGTCTCGTTCTAGCAATTAATTCTGGACAACCTAATGTTGCTAATTGTGAAGCAGCAACTCTATTTTAAAAAAAAAAAAGATAAAATATTAAATAAAAAATTTGAGAATTTAAAATTACAATTATATAAATAAAAAATATTAAAAATTTAAATATAGTTTTTAAACGCACTTTTATTATATTTATAGTTTTTTTTATTGAAATTTAATTTAAAATAATTTCATCAACAAACATCAAGAAATTATAATGAGGTTTAGGAAATGCAATGCTAACAAATGCAATATTGCAAAAATTTATAATAAAATAAATTAAATCACCAAATTTATCAACAAGAAAAGAAAATTATTTAAACACTAATTTTAGTGATTATTTTTTATAATTATTAAAATATAATTAATGTTTGTAAATGCAAAATCGAAATAAAAATAAAATCTTAACTTTTTTCCGAGTGAATTTTTACGAAAATATTTTATTATTCGAAATTATAAAAATTTTTAAAACATATTTTAGTTTTAAAAATAGAACGAATTTCGATGCCCCCTAATCAGAAATTTCAAAGAATGATTATATTTCATTTTTTTTTTGTTTTTTTTTTAGAAAATTCATTTTATTTTACCTTGAAGCAAGTGTTTCTCCTGGAAGTGTAATAACCGGTGTTCCTGTCCATAATACATCCATTGATGTTGTGTGTCCATTACATAAAGGTGTGTCTAAGCATACATCAGCTAATTGCCCTCTTCTAACATGTTCTTCTTTTGCAGCAACATTTGAAAAAATAATTCTTGAGCCATTAATTCCTACAAACAAATGAAAATAAATAAATATTAAACAATGAAATTAAATTAAAAAAAATTCATATATTCTAATAATTTCATACTAAAGTAAAAATAAATACCTAATTCTTCAGCAGTTTTTTTGATATTTTGTTCACCAACAGCCGGGAATCGCAATAACCATAAAACAGAATTTGGTACATGTTTTAATATAATTACCCATGATTGCAGCGTAAGTGGGTCAATTTTATATAATTGATTAAAATTGCAATAAACAATTGCATCATCAGGTAATTGATATTGTTGTCTTGTTGTAATAACGATATTTTGTGGTACTTCTTCACCAGTTGCTGCTTTATTATTTGTTTGTGTCGTTGCTAAACCATTTTGTACCACAACACCATTCACTGATGTCTGAACTTGTCCTGTTGATATCATTGCATCTATTTGTGTTGTTGTTGGTAATTCAGCCACTTTAAGTGATATTTCAACAGGTTTTTGTGCCAATACTACTTCTTTAATTTCCTTAACATCTGTACTTTCAACTAAAGGCGATAAATCTGTTGCATTTATAACAGCAACATTGTCAGCAACAACATTACTTGCTCCAGTAATACGATCTGTAACAATTAATCTTTCTTTTAAATGGGGAAACATTTGTTTATGGTCGCCAATAAAATATGTGAATGGCATATACGCTAATTTTTCGCTATACTGTGATGCCAATTCCAATGGTGATGTGACAGCATCAGTAACAATATAATCCATGAAACTTGCGCCACTTGTACCTGGATAACCCAACCACATTACTTGTACTGGTGCTGGTCTTAATGCAAAAATTTCATTACGTGCACCTTTTGTATAACCATTCATATTTATTAATATATGTATGCCATCAGCAAATATACGATCAGCAGCTTTACCATTACATGCAACTTGTGATAAATCAATGAAATGTTCTGATTCACGTGATATTTTTGAACGGAATGTTGTACCATCGTCAGGGCTCAATGCATAGCAAAATACTTCAACATGTGAGCGATCATGTAGTCCCGGAATCGATTGCATTAGATGCGATGTAGGATGATTACCAAAATCGCTACTTACATAACCAATACGTAAACGTCCGCCCATTGGTATTTCGCGTAAAAATTTATATGGCGGTTTATGTAATACATGGATCTTTTCAAGGCACAAGTTAGCGTGTCTGGCTGCGATCGCTTTACGGAACTCATGAGACAATGGATACAACATAGAATGATGCGGATGAACAGATGGTAGGCGATTTTTTTCTAATTGTTCAGCTACAATGCTAACCAATTTTTTCATACGAGCTTCATAATCAGTCCAATCGCATACTATCTGTAAACAATGAGCTAAATTACAATATGCATCTGGAAAATCTGGTTTCAATTTTAATGCTGTACGATAGGACTGTATTGCTTCTGGTATATTACCAGAATCTTTATGAATACTAGCTAAATTACTATGTGCATCAGCAAATGCTGGATTTATTTGTATGGCACGCGTATAACACTGTAGAGCACCGTTAACATCTTGTAATTCTTTTAATGTATTTCCCATATTTGAGTATGCATCAGCAAATGTTGGTTGAATTCGTATTGCTTCTTTATAATGCATAAGTGCCTCATTAAGTTTGCCCTGTTGTTGTAAAACTGATGCCAAATTTGAATGTGCTGCAGCAAATTCAGGAAAAACTTCCAAAGCTTTAAGATATAAACGTGTTGCTTCCTCAATAAAACCTTGTTCACGTTTAATATTTGCCAAATTATTAAGTGAATCAGCATGATTAGAGCAAAGTCGTAATGCAGTGTTATAACATTCTTCAGCCTCTTTAACCTAAAATAAATTACAAAAAAAAATTTATAAAAATTAAAAAAATCACAAATTCATTTTAATATTTTATAATAAAATATAAGTATTTTAATAATATATAAGTATAAAAAATATTTTGAAGTATCTATTAAATACTTTACTTATTTCTAATGTAAAAAATGTTATGCTTCATTTCTCCATGGATGTTTTTAATTAAAATATTTTCTTAAGTGTACATATATCATAACATAATATGTAACATACATATATCATAATTATGTTAAATATGAGCATGAACTTCCATATTGTCAAAAACGAAGTTTTGAAACCAATCATTATGACATTTCATTGTCAATTAAAAAAAAAATATGTACTTTTTATGAAAGTTCGTGTTACCACCAACCGGAAATTTAGGGAAAAATCAAAACTTAGCGTTATGTCAATTTAAATATTGACTTGTGAATACTGGTATTACTTTTCGTCAAAATCTTACAAACAGCAACCAAAATTTTTCAATATTCAACGATTTTGCCATTTCAAAACGATTTTCGTACAATTCAGAACGTACAAAATAGTAAAATTTTTTTTTTGTCTCATACATTATTAGAGTTTGCGTTTCGTTTTCAACAATACGGAATAAAATATTTGTACAAAAAATTAAGATTTTGTTCCAACACTTAAATTTGAAATGATTAACAGGAAAAAAATTAATACTAGTAGGACGCTTTACATAATTTTACTCGAAATACAAAATTTTATAACTTTCATCTAGAAAAAAATATGTATTTATAAGAAAAACTAATTATATTATAATGAGAAGATTTTCAAATTAAAATGAGATGTTTCTTTTTTCAAATCTATCAGAAAAATATGTCAATTTTAATGGATTATATGTCATGACAATGACATAATTGTGCGAACTTTAACAAATGCAAAATTTTTCTATTTAAATTATATAAATGGGCTTTGAAAACCAACACTATTATAAGAGTAATTTTAAAAACTAAATTTTTATTTTTAAGAAAATTTCAACAAAAATTCGAAATATTTATGAATTTAATAGCGTTTTCTTAAGGTATATAATTTTAAAAACATTACCCCTACACAACTATATGACATTGACAATAACAAATATAATAAAATAATTATTGTGGTTATGTTTTTCTACTTAATTAAGAAAAATAACATAAGACTCATTAATTTTATGAAAAAAAAAAATTTAAGTTGAAAACCTCAAGGATTTTTCAAAAAGGTTATTTACCAATCCTAATAATATTATTATAAATATAAAATAAATTCAAATTATTTGTACATATTTGCTATACTTTTATCTTAGTTTCCATTTAAATCTATAATATACTATATTTATTGAATCAGAAACAAAAAACACAAAATCTCTAATAATATAACTTCTCATTTTTGATAAAAAAAAACATACCCTATATATATTTCAAACGAATTAGATCAAAAAGAAATAAAATACAAAAGGATCAAGATAAAAAGAAAGAAGAAAACTTTTTGATGAAATGAAAAACAAAAGAAATTTTCTAAGAAAAACTAATTATTTCTAATATAAATAATATTATATAAATAAAATGTTATATAAATACTCGTATATATTATGAAAATAATGTTAAATATAGAAAATATTACCTATTTATATATAACAAAGATATCAATAAAGAAAATATAAAAATAAAAATGCCTATCAAATTGAAAGATCAGATTACAATTAACAATTTAAAGGGAAAATAAATAAAACCATTATATTATAAATACTGTTATATGTATTACAATATATAAAAATAAAAATCTATAAAGGAGACTTTAATTATACCATTATATATTTATATTTAAAATAAATACATATGTGTTTAATTATATAATTAAAAATCTAATTGCAAATAATATTTTGTTATATAAAAATTAAATTCTAATTAATGTTCATAATTCTTGCAATTAAAATATAAAGCACATTTTATTCATAAGATAATAAGTTGTTTGAATTACATATATGTATGTATGACAAATTTATATATGTATGTGAGTATAATATAACAATATATGTATATACACATGCAATATAACTATTTTATGAAGAATATCACTATATTGTTAAAAAGATGTTGGTATGGAGAAGAAAAATTAATTAGTGATAATATTTGTATATATTAAGAGAAAAATGGATAATAATAGAAATTTATGGTGATATCAACTATGATAGTGATATACGTATGTATTTCAATATGCAAATAATTATAGAAGAACACTAAAATATTGTTATTAATTTATGTCAGAGAAATGAACCTGCAAATTTCTTATTTTAAATTTAATCGCTTCAAATGTTAGTATTATAACCTAATTCTGTTATTCACTTTTACTTACTTTTACATTCCATGATTTTGTATATAGGGAGATTCTAATTAGATTTCTCATAAAAAAAATGGTTTTCAAATATACAACTTTATATTATACCGCAATCTCTGAAGCAATATTACGATTAATTAACTTTCAAATAAAACCTTTAAGATTTGTCTTTGAATTTAATTTTGTACGTAAAATTACTACAATATGAATTAACTGTTATACGGCATTTACTGTTATACGACATACTGTTATACAATTCATGAAATGCATACTCGTATTATATGACTTTCTTAAATTCGTATTTACTTTAAGGTGCCCTTTACATATCATGTCAACTCTTAGTTACTGATTTAGACAAAATCAAAAATTTGATTATATATCTAATAAGAGCCGTATATTTGTAAATGTTGTTTGGCATCAGACTTTGCCTGGCAGAAAACATTAGATATTTTATTATTAGATTAGAAGAGTTTGGAACAGCGATCAGTTGATTTTGATTAAAATTTTCTAAGCAAAATTATTAAATTTTGTTGTTAATACTAAGTGTCATCATATAATTTCAGTCTGGTAACCTGTTATCATACTTTATAGTAATCTTAGATTTTATCGTATATGTATAAACACCACCCCTTGACCTAAGGTATAAAATAAATCTGCTGCATAAATATTAATCAGATTTTATTTTAGATTAAATCGTAGATTAACTCTAATGTATGTAATATTCGCACCTAACTTAAAATTTTCAAAATAGCATTCATTGGGACAATATTATAAAAATTTTTCTAATTAACAAATTTATGCAGTTTTTAACTAGATTAAAAATATCAAACTAAATGTTAATTAATTCAATTTATTAATATAATATTTACTTTTAATTTAATAAAATTTAATTAAATTTATTTTTGGGAACGCATCAGTAGTTTGTGAGCATTTGAATATTTTTCTATAAAAAAATATTAAAAATGTGAATGATCCTTACATTTTCTATTCTAACAAAAATTAATAATTTTGAATTTAAAATTTAAGGATTTTATTTCAGAAATAAATAAAAAAAAATTAAAAAACAAAAACAGGATCTTTTTAAAGGTAATTAAATCCTTGAAATTGAATCTAAAAAAGGTAATGTTTGATTAAATTAAAATAAAAGGAAAATTATATACCGTTGATGAGACCATTGAAAAATAATATTTATTTATATTTTTTTTTTTCATTGAAAATTTGAATTAATTTGCATTTTATGTTTGTATAATTACATAGGGAGGGTATTTGAAATATTTAAAATTTATCTCTGCCAGATAAGCCGAAAAGAGTTATCATTATACTCATAATAACTGTTATATTAGTCGTATAAAAATTATCAATCGATTCTTTAATCAATGTATTGAAGTTTTTACTATAAAAATATTTTCATAAATATTTTACTCTTAATAATTAAAGTATTTGGAAGGGGTGAAAGAAGAAAAAATTAATAAAAATTCTTAAATATTATGCACAGAACGTGAAAAAAGGTAATTCAACCAACTCAACACTTTTTATACCCTGCACTTCGTGAAGGGTATATTAACTTTGGTATGGAGTTTGTAACTACTTGAAGGAGTCATCTGCGGTATGAACATATATATATATTCTTGCTCAGCGTAAAATTCTGAGTCGATTTAGACATGTCCGTCTGTCCGTCCGTCCGTCCGTCCGTCCGATCGCACGATAACTCAAAAACGAATAATGCAATCGACACCAAACTTTCACAAGTTTTTTCTTTTGTGCCAAGGACGAGCCCTATTGTTATTGGATTAATTCGGACAACGGGTTCGGGTAGCTGCCATACAACTCAAAGAGTTTATTTTAAATATTTCAAAAACTAATAAAGGTATAAATATAAAATTTTGTACACATGTGTCCAATTATATTCTACACATGCTATAAAAATTATAATGGGATAGCTGCAATGGTTCGGGTGGCTGCCATACAACTTCAACAGCAAATTTTTTATATTCGGCAAAATAATAAAGTCAGATTCATGAAACTTGGCAGTCATGTGTCCAATTATAGGTCAAATATATTTCTGAAGTTTTAGAGGAATCGCTTGACAGGTTCGGGTACCTGCCATACAACTCCAGAAGCTAATTTTAAATATTTGGAAAAATAATAAAGTCAGATTCATGAAACTTGGCAATCATGTGTCCAATTATGGCTCAAATACATTTCTGAAGTTTTGGTGGAATTGCTCGACAGGTTCGAGTAGCTCCCATACAAGTCTAAAAGCTTATTTTAAATATTTGGAAAAATAATAAAGTAAAATTCATTAGACTTGGCAGTCGTGTGTCCAATTATAGGTCCGACATATTTCTAAAGTTTTGGTGCGATTGCTTGACAGGTTCGAGTAGCTCCCATGCAAGTCTAAAAGCTTATCTTAAGAATAAAATTCTTAATATTTGGAAAAATAATAAAGTCAGATTCATGAAACTTGGCAGTTGTTTGGCCGATTATAGATCAGATATATTTGTGAAGGTTTGGTGGAACTGCTTGGCAGGTTCAGGTACTTACCATACAACTCCAAAAGCTAATTTTAAATATTTGGAAAAATTATAAGGTCAGATTCATGAAACTTGGCAGTCGTATGTCCAATTATAGGTCAGACATGTCCGTGAAGTTTCTAT